TATTTATAATATATATATATATTATAAAAATAATAATTTTATTTATATATTAAAAATAAATTAATATATAATATAAATAGATTTTATATATATTAATATATATATATTATATTTTATATATATATAAAATAAAAAATATTATATATATAGATATATATATATAATTATATATTTTAATATTTTTATATATATTTTATATATAATATAAATATTTAATAAAATTTATATATATTTTATATATAAAATTTATATATATAAAATTTTTTATATTATATATAATATATATTATTATATTTATAATATTTATTTTTTTTTTATATTTTGTATAAAATATAATAAAAAACTTTAAATATTATATTATTAATTTTATAATAATTTATATAAATTATTTATTAAAATAATATTAAATATAATATAAAAAAATTTTTTATATAAATAATTTTTTTAATATATATAATATATTATATTTATTTATATTAATATAAAATATATAATAAAAATTTATTTTTATTAAATATTTTATATTATTGATATAAATAATAAATATATAAAATAAATTTTATTATAATATTTATATATAATATATATTAATATATATTATTTTTATTTATATATATTATATATATATATATATATATAATATGTTAATTGAATAATATTTTATTTGTTTATTTAAATATATTTAATAGGCACAAATGATAAAATTTAATATTAATTACAAGTTAAATTAGTTTTAAATAAATTATTAATAATTAAATATATAAAGAGGCAAATAATATTTATTAATAATTGGTAGTTTCTAATTATAATTGAATTTAATAAAATAAAAATTATAAAAAATTATTTTATAATGAAAAATTAGACGGATTAATGTTATTATTTATGAAATTAAAAAAAAAATAATAAATTAAAAAATTTTTATTTAATAATAATATTTTTTATTATATAATAATATGAATAAAAATATTAAAAAATTTTAATATTATATAAAAATATTTTAAAAAATAATATAAATTTAAAATTATTATATTATATTTATTTTAAAATAAAAAATAAAATTAAATTAATTTAAATTTTAAAAAAAATTTTAAAAATATATAAAAATAAAAAAAAATATATTTTTATAAAAATTTTTAAATAAAAATTTAAATTTTAAATTTTTATATATATATATTATATATATATATCTTTTTCTGTTAGTGTGTCTTGCATACTTATTTAGTTTTATATGTTAATGATACCATATTTTATTTTTTTTATTAACACACTGGCCGATTCCCACCAAGGCAGGGTGGCCCGAAAAAGAAAGACTTTCACCATCATTCACTCCATTACTGTCTTGACAGAAGGGTGCTTTACACTACAGTTTTTAAACTGCAACATTAACACCCCTCCTTCAGAGTGCAGGCACTGTACTTCCCATCTCCAGGACTCAAGTCCGGCCTGCCGGTTTCCCTGAACCCCTTCATAAATGTTACTTTGCTCACACTCACCAAAGCTATAAAAATCCCGCTGTCTACAAAGATGTTAGTTTTATTGGAGACGTCAGACGGCACTAACGTTGTTCAGGTTATTACTGGAAAGTCCAGACAGCAAAAAAAAAAAAGTCACAGGTAAAATATTAACACCCGACCTATACTACCTGGGAAGTAAAGTAATCAGGTTTGTTACTCTAGTGACGTCAAGGGCAAACTAAATAAATCAGGAATAAAACAGTGACGTTAAAGGCAAAATATTAATGTCATGGTCATGACGTAAAACATATTTTTGACGTCAGAGCAAAATGCAAGTGATAACATTGCTAAATTATTGACGACGTGGCTGAAATATTTACGTCAGTGTTAGCAGAATGACAACAGGGAATGAAGAATAAAGTCCGACTTAAAGACGTCAAAGCTAAAAGAACGACGTCAGGGCTTAAGGAATAGCGTCAGTAGGTAAACAATACAGTAAAGAAATGTGGCAATTTTACGAGCTTGTAAACAGCTGCGAAACACTGGCGAACGACAATTTTTCCATAATGAACAAAAGTTGGAGACGGGAGTTAATGGCTGCCGTGTGTTGTGGCAGAGAGAGCGGGAGAGAGGGAGGGAGGGAAGGCAATAAGAGGACTAGCTGTGGGACTTGCTAACAAATGAAGGTGCACGGCAAAACGTGCACAAGTATGCCGTGCACGCACTCGCAGTCAAGTACGCACATGTAAGCTGATATGCGCGCGCGCAAAAACGCAGGCACGCACACACCTAGTAGCGATCACCTAAAAGGCGGGACAAGGAGCTGTGAATCAACCCTGTCAACCACAAATAGGCGAGTACAGACACACACATGGGAAAAAAATGACCTGCAATGGCTTTTGTAGTCTCATTTTACTAAAACATTTAGCGACACTGACTAAGTATTAACGAGAGAGAGAGAGAAACTTTCTCGAACCCTGTCTGAGCCCCGTTATTAGACCCCTACAAGAATGTATACACTTCACTGCTGTCTCCCCTCACTCAATGAATCATGCATAAACAGAAGTTTGGCAATAAGTGATATTTATTTTAAGAAAATTGGACAAATTAGTATAGAGGCGCGGTGGTTTGCAATGAAGCAGTTTGATAGACTATGTATTGATGAATAAAAAGTTGATGGGTAGACGTCTGTATGATCACGTTTTTAGAAGACACATGTCACATTACTACTGAGTGGTAGCTGCAGTAAGAGCAAGAGGCAGATAGAGGACAAGGCGGCTGGTGTTAGTGAGGACAAGAAGACTGGTGTTAGTGAGGACAAGAAGACTGGTGTTAGTGAGGACAAGAAGACTGGTGTTAGTGAGGACAAGAAGACTGGTGTTAGTGAGGACAAGAAGACTGGTGTTAGTGAGGACAAGAAGACTGGTGTTAGTGAGGACAAGAAGACTGGTGTTAGTGAGGACAAGAACTGGTGTTAGTGAGGACAAGAAGACTGGTGTTAGTGAGGACAAGAAGACTGGTGTTAGTGAGGGCAAGAAGACTGGTGTTACGGAGGGCAAGAAGACGGAGGACAAGAAGACTGGTGTTAGGGAGGACAAGAAGACTGGTGTTAGGGAGGACAAGAAGAGCAGTGAAAGAATGAACTCAAAATCGGGACACTAGTGTCACGATTTTAACTTCAATTACTTTCACTTAGGTATAAGCAGACATGACAAGCTCTGCCAGAGAGATGACTGAAAATGAGCAAGATGAAGAGGTATGGGGTATATTCAGGAATGTAGTAGTTAGTGTGCAGGAAAAAAGTTTGTGGATACAGGAGGGTGGCTGGTGGTGGGAAAAAAGTAATTAGTGAAATGAGGTGAAGAGGGTGATAATGGAGAAAAAGTTAGCTTATGAAGTGTTTATACAAAGCAAAACTGATATACGAAAGGTAAAGTATGTGGAATAAGAGGAATTAAACGAGTGGTGAGGGAATACACAAGAAAAACGAGAGAGTGGGCGGGTTTGTCAGCAAGTTTTATTGAGAATAAGAGTTTAGGAAAGAGACTAACAAGTTAGGAGCCTGGTCAGCAAATGGATTTCTCAATCAATTAAGAAATAAAAGTGGGAAATATTAGATGGGAAGGTGGAGGCACAGAAAGGAAGGAACATTCTGAACAGTTATTCGATGATGAGAGAGGTAGTAATTTCTTGCTTGGGAAAGATCCAAAAGTGTGACGGAAATGCTTGAGGTAATGGGAAGAATGAAAGAGGACAAAACAATTGGATCAGAAAGGATTAAAACTGAGGTGTTAAATCAGGTTGGTGCGTATTTGTTCAGCCTATTCATGCCAGCAGAGATTGGCTGGCAGGAATGGAGAAAGAGGACAAGTGAGGAAGAATTATAGGTGAATAAGTCTGTTAAATTTACTAGGTAATGTGTTCGGTTGAATTATTACTGAAAGAACTTGGGATTAAATGAAGTAGGATTGCAAGGGAACAAAGAGGATTTAGGAAGGGTAGGGGATGCACAGACCAACTGCTTACATTAATACACAAGTGATCAATACTTTTATAAGAGTAAGGAGCTGTTTATCACATTTATGGATTTAGAAAAATATATGATAGGGTGGGTGGAAAAAAAAATGTGTTAAATGTTGCAAATGTATGGGATAGGTTGCAGGTTATTAAATAAAATAAAAAAATGTGTTGTTTTGCAAATAAACATTCACAGGAATAATATAGCATACACAACTCAAAATAACACGATTATAAACAAATCATGGAACGGCTGAGGGTTGAACCCAAGGCGAGTGTGTCCTGACCTGAGCTTCAGGACTCGCTTGCCATGGGTTTAAACTCCATTTGTATTTTATAATAGCAGGAATATTACAACGTCCACACTGGAGCGGTGTGGAAATTCATTACGATAGAGAAAGTGGGGAAAATGTGGCTCTTTGGCGCTCCATTAACAATGCCAACCTACTTCTAAGTAGGATACATCAGTTTTTAAATTTTAAAGGGGGGGGGGTGGACTGGTAAACCAGTGGAAGACCTCTGTCAGATGACCAAAAGCTGCAATCGGGAAACATCATGTGACGAAGACCCGCGTCAGAAAACGATTGTCCTGTTTCCTGACAAACCTTACCTAACCTAACCAGTGTTTAAATATTGAAGCCGACCAAGTTTGTTAAGTATCTTAGGGAAACTGATTTCTGTTCAGTTTGAACACCTTAACAGCGGCTCAAACTGCCATAGCAATCAATAATTCTGCAGATACATCATGATACAGTAAGGAGTAACCACTTATTGTATAATACAGTAAATAAAATGCTTAGAACATCAAAAACCTCATCAAGGAGGATACCTTGATGCTAGAGAAGGTCTCTTAATCCAAGGAAATGAAACTGCCCTCCTCATCTTTGGATTAAACCTAATTACCTTCCGAATCTCAAGGCGCTGTACGAGCCCCTACAGCCTTAGCGCTTTCCCCTGAACAAACATATTACAAACGCCAAAGTGAATGGTCACTAAAAATTAAACAAAAAAATATGAAGAATAGCTCACATTAAACAAGAAGGTGAAGTTATAAGCGGGTGGGTTAGCACGGGCGGCGCAGGTGAGGGTGGCAGAGTCTCCAGCCCTCAGGCCGCCCACGCCACCCACGCCGCCCAATCCGACGACCTTGCTGCCCAGGCGGCCCTGGCTGCCCCCGCCTTCGATGCTAATGCTGGCCTCGGGCACATCTGCGAACACATTATTCACAAACACATTTAGACGTGAAATTAAAGGCGTGAGAGTTTAAAGAATTAGTTACGACTGTTACAATAGTTAAAACTGCAATAATTTTCCAACAATAACAATAGCTACAATAACTACAGCTACTATAACTGCCAGCTACAATAATTACACCTACAATAATTACATCTAGAATAATTGCAGCTACAATAATTAAAACCACAATAATTGCAGCTACAATAATTAGAACCACAATAATTGCAGCTACAATAATTAGAACCACAATAATTGCAGTTACAATAATTAGAAAACCCCAATAATTGGGAGCTACAATAATTAGAACCACAATAATTGCAGCTACAATAATTAGAACCACAATAATTGCAGCTACAATAATTAGAACCACAATAATTGCAGCTACAATAATTAAAACCACAATAATTGCAGCTACAATAATTAAAACCACAATAATTGCAGCTACAATAATTAAAACCACAATAATTGCAGCTACAATAATTAAAACCACAATAATTGCAGTTACAATAGATAAAACAGTTTCATAAATACAAATTAATTCCGGGTTGAGGTTTATTATAAATGCTTGAGGTAAGCTGATGGGGGGTTTACTTATTTGTTTACTGCATGCAATATATCTATGGGTGTCTGCAGCGGTCACCAACAGCCTGATTGGTCAGAGACCTGGCTTCGGTTAAATAATGAAAGATCGAGCCTTCGCCATTTAGTGTAGGTTTAGAACTTCGGGAGATATGCATGTTTATCAAGTATATTTGCTTTCGTGGGTAAATATGAGCGCAATACAAGACGTGAAATTTTTAATATGTTAGTTGAAATTGACCCTTGAACTTGAAATAGGATCTTGACCTCCTTGATTTACCCCTGTCCTTGAAATCGACTGTTGATTCCCCTTGATTTTGACACCTTAGCGTAAAAACCGTTGACAACCTTGATTTTGACCCCTGAACTTGGAATCGACTCTTCACCCCCTTGATTCTTAGCATGAAGTCGACATCTTTCCTTGAAATTAGCTCTTGAACTCTTCGAAGTCGACCCCTGACATCCTTGAAACTAACTCCTAACTTCCTTGAAGTTGACCTCCTCTTCCTCGCCTTCTCGAACTTTACTGAGTGCCTTTCTCCTCTTTCTCTGAGTTCAAGCAGTCCTCTTTCTCTAACTTATTATTCTCGCTGAATCATTCTTCAATTCACTCATCAATATATCTTCATCTATGGAACTCTAGTTTATTTATACACCCGTTCACTCATATTTGCTTACTATCTCATTTTCTCTCCAACTCATAGAAAATTGTTCACAGTTTTCCTTTTCTATAGAAATTTCTTCTAGATTTCTTCTCTTTTGTTTACTCTGTACTTCTATTTCACTCCATCTAACTTCAGTCTCTCCCTTCTTTCCCTATACTTTGATTTCTCTTCACCCTTTCTTCCTCCTACTCTCATTCCTCTTCCTTTCCGGTTCACTCCTATCTCTCCTCCTGCATCTTTAATCCTCTCTCCATACATCCTTTCTTCATCTCACACTGTCATCACTACCCTGTGAGAGTGAGTGAGCGAGCGAGTCTCTCCCTCTTCTCTCAGAGCCACAGGGAGACGATGCACAATACCTGTGAATCCCGATATTGACTTCCAGTGGCTCACTTCAAGGTCAACACTTTAATTAACGTCAGGCTACGCCAGAGAGGAATGTTCATATATTTAGAGAACTCCAAGTTAATCTTCTCTACCTCCGCCCATAAGCAAGATTATTTGTTGTGGTTTTAATCTGGTCTTGATCATCCGGAAATGTGTTTTCCGGGTGTGCATTTCCAGTTTTCGACTGGATCTTTCCAGAGATGTTAGGAGACCCTCTTGTTTGGCTCTCAACACAGCGACCTGTTCATTGTGAGCTGCAAGTAGTAATGCGAAATTATATAATATATATAATATATATAATATATATATATATATATATATATATATATATATATATATATATATATATATATAATATATATATATATATATATATATATATATATATTACACATTATATATATAATCAGTGATAGTCACGGCATTATGCCGCCCCTCCTTCACACACGTACCAAAACAAACACATACCTTAGAAGATTATAATATATATATTTGTACACTTACTGAGGTTTTAATACTTGGTGCTGTGTCCTTTACGCTTAATCACGTCTCTCAGCCGTGTAGGAAGACTTTCACACAAATTTTTGAGGGTTTGGGGAGGTATATTATTCCATGCCACATGTAGAGCAGCCTCCAGCCGTGGGATGGAAGTGATATCATTGCCAAGTAAACTTCGTTTCATTATTGACAAGAGGTTCTCAGATTTCGTCGTATGACACGGTGCACCGTCCTGCATAAAATCCGTAGCCCCGCACTTGTCAAACGCCTCAGGTAAATTGTCACAATAACTCCAGGTAATTATACTGGTTCATATACTGGTTTTTGGGAAGCACAATGAGTTCAACACAGAGCACTGAAACACCCCCAAACCATGAGCGAGTCTGGGTGTTTGGTGGTCCCACAGATGTAGCGTGGGTCTTGTGGGACACTACCTCTGGGCCGGTCTACATGTCCCCCACGGTTACAGGTGACGGTGAAGGTTGCTTCATTACCCCAAAGTACTTCAGGTCACTGTTGAGGATTCCAGTGAAGATATTTCTTTGCATAATCCAGCCTACGTTTCTTCTGTGGCTTGGAGAGGATCAGTTTCTTAACCTGGTGGTGACTACTGTACCCAGTTCTGACAAGTCTGTTAACAGTTCTTAAAGACACCTCTAAGAGAAGATGTGGGTTCTTTTCTTTCAAATCTCTAGCCGTTATCTTAGGTGTACTCTCTAACTGCTTCTTTAACATAGTTCAGGTACGAACACATGTCTTTGTGAGGGGCGAGGCCGAGGTTCGACAGACGGTAACTCGACACCACCAGCCTTGAAACGTTGCACCCAGTTCCTCATTGAACGCTCACACACCAACATTCTCCACTATTTCTTTCGTCTGGTACCCAGCTTTGGCAAGCCCTATGATTTGAGCAAAAGATATGGCAGATGAGACAAAACTGCAACACTTCCTCTCACCACGGCAGCCACGTGAGCACAGTCACTGTGGAGTATGGCGGCAGACCGTGAGGTCATGCTAACGACTGCTACCTGGCATAATGCACTGACGAAAAAAGACCCCATCCTGCGTGATAGACCTTTGATTTTCGTCAAGGCATTATGCCGGGGCGCTCGCCCGGCATAATACGATGACTAGCACTATATATATATATATAATATATATATATATATAATATATATATATAATATATATATATATATATATATATAATATATATAATATAATATATATATTAATATATATAATATATATATATATATATATATATATATATATATATATATATATATATATATATATATATATATATATTATATAATGTGAGGGTGGAGATGTGAGGGTGGAGATGTGAGGCTGGAGATGTGAGGCTGGAGATGTGAGGCTGGAGATGTGAGGGTAGTGATGGGGGAGTGTTAGATATTAATGAGGGTGAGTAATTTGCATATCCTAATTTGATTCCAAAAAACTTATTGGGAAATAATCAGGTCGGATCCAAGGAAGAATAGGGTAACTCCATCTTTTTGGAGCAAGAGTCCATCAATGTCAAAATATTTCCACTGAGCTTAGAGATTAGTTTTACGTTGTAACCAAGAATATTTATTGATGATTGATGAGGATTTATTAGAACTGAGGAAGAAAGAGGCTGTCAAAAAATAATTTACACGAAGTTAGATTTTTCTTTCTCTAAATATAATGCAATTTTCTTTTCGTGGACATGAACTTAAGATTTTGAAAGATGTGGCTAAATTCAAAGTTTTGAATGAAAATATTTTGAGTCAAAGTGAACAAAGAGGAGAGTTAAAAGAAGGTAATTAAAATTTTATTCCTTAGTATATGAGCATCAATGAAGAAGTATGTCACCACTACAATGACCTGGAGGAAGTATGTCACCACTACAATGACCTGGAGGAAGTATGTCACCACTACAATGACCTGGAGGAAGTATGTCACCACTACAATGACCTGGAGGAAGTATGTCACCACTACAATGACCTGGAGGAAGTATGTCACCACTACAATGACCTGGAGGGAAGTATGTCACACTACAATGACCTGGAGGAAGTATGTCACCACTACAATGACCTGGAGGAAGTATGTCACCACTACAATGACCTGGAGGAAGTATGTCACCACTACAATGACCTGGAGGAAGTATGTCACCACTACAATGACCTGGAGGAAGTATGTCACCACTACAATGACCTGGAGGAAGTATGTCACCACTACAATGACCTGGAGGAAGTATGTCACCACTACAATGACCTGGAGGAAGTATGTCACCACTACAATGACCTGGAGAAGTATGTCACCATTACAATGACCTGGAGGAAGTATGTCACCACTACAATGACCTGGAGGAAGTATGTCATCATTACAATGACCTGGAGGAAGTATGTCACCACTACAATGACCTGGAGGAAGTATGTCATTACAATGACCTGGAGGAAGTATGTCACCACTACAATGACCTGGAGGTGTATGTCACCATTACAATGACCTGGAGGAAGTATGTCATCATTACAATGACCTGGAGGAAGTATGTCACCACTACAATGACCTGGAGGAAGTATGTCATCATTACAATGACCTGGAGGAAGTATGTAACCACTACAATGACCTGGAGGTGCATGTCACCATTACAATGACCTGGAGGAAGTATGTCACCACTACAATGACCTGAAGGAAGTATGTCATCATTACAATGACCTGGAGGAAGTATGTCACCACTACAATGACCTGGAGGAAGTATGTCACCACTACAATGACCTGGAGGAAGTATGTCACCACTACAAAGACCTGGAGGAAGTATGTCATCACTACAATGACCTGGAGGAAGTATGTCACCACTACAATGACCTGGAGGAAGTATGTCATCACTACAATGACCTGGAGGAAGTATGTCATCACTACAATGACCTGGAGGAAGTATGTCACCACTACAATGACCTGGAGGAAGTATGTCACCACTACAATGACCTGGTGGAAGTATGTCACCACTACAATGACCTGGAGGAAGTATGTCATCACTACAATGACCTGGAGGAAGTATGTCACCACTACAATGACCTGGAGGAAGTATGTCACCACTACAATGACCTGGAGGAAGTATGTCACCACTACAATGACCTGGAGAAGTATGTCACCATTACAATGACCTGGAGGAAGTATGTCACCACTACAATGACCTGGAGGAAGTATGTCACCACTACAATGACCTGGAGGAAGTATGTCATTATTACAATGACCTGGAGGAAGTATGTCACCACTACAATGACCTGGAGGAAGTATGTCATCATTACAATGACCTGGGGAAGTATGTCACCACTACAATGACCTGGAGGTGTATGTCACCATTACAATGACCTGGAGGAAGTATGTCATCATTACAATGACCTGGAGGAAGTATGTCACCACTACAATGACCTGGAGGAAGTATGTCATCATTACAATGACCTGGAGGAAGTATGTAACCACTACAATGACCTGGAGGTGTATGTCACCATTACAATGACCTGGAGGAAGTATGTCACCACTACAATGACCTGAAGGAAGTATGTCATCATTACAATGACCTGGAGGAAGTATGTCACCACTACAATGACCTGGAGGAAGTATGTCACCACTACAAAGACCTGGAGGAAGTATGTCATCACTACAATGACCTGGAGGAAGTATGTCACCACTACAATGACCTGGAGGAAGTATGTCATCACTACAATGACCTGGAGGAAGTATGTCATCACTACAATGACCTGGAGGAAGTATGTCACCACTACAATGACTTGGAGGAAGTATGTCACCACTACAATGACCTGGAGGAAGTATGTCACCACTACAATGACCTGGAGGAAGTATGTCACCACTACAATCACCTGGAGGAAGTATGTCCCCAATACAATGACCTGGAGGAAGTATGTCACCTACAATGACCTGGAGGAAGTATGTCACCACTACAATGACCTGGAGGAAGTATGTCACCACTACAATCACCTGGAGGAAGTATGTCACCACTACAATCACCTGGAGGAAATATGTCACCACTACAATCACCTGGAGAAAGTATGTCACCACTACAATCACCTGGAGGAAGTATGTCATCACTACAATCACCTGGAGGAAGTATGTCACCACTACAATGACCTGGAGGAAGTATGTCACCACTACAATGACCTGGAGGAAGTATGTCACCACTACAATCACCTGGAGGAAGTATGTCACCACTACAATCACCTGGAGGAAGTATGTCAACATAAGAAAGACGTGGAGGAGGTATACTAAAAATGGGGGACACCAATGTTCCAGAAATTACAATATGTTCAGATACAGACGGCCCCATTGTTACTTTTTTGTGCTGTAATATATAGGTTTACGAATGTTCATCGTTCTTAGATCGGCAGGTATCATGGAACTGCCATGTTTAGAGAATGTTTTGAGGAATAACTTTACCCGTAGAGATCATACAGTGTTGGAATGAGTGATAACCAGGTTTGAGTCAGGTAAACTGAGGGTAGTTCCAAGTCATGGGATCAAGAGCCTTTAGTTAGCATCAAAGAACCACCCTAGAAGGATATTTGGAGGACTGGCAGTGCAGGAGTTCACTTTGGAATTTTGTCCGCTGGACATCATAACATTTTCAACCCGTATGAGCTACTGCACAAGAATAGGATACATCAAACTTGTCTGAGACCCACTAAACTTGTATGGGATGCATGCTAAACACAATATGAGTGCGTATGTACTCAGGGAATAGTTGCAGCTCATGTCTTGACTGAGATGGTAGGTACTTGTGGAAGTCAACAACACACCGTGTTGTGTACGAATGGTATATAATACCGACAAGATGAGATTAAGACACATGTGCAACATCTGGGTATCTTTATTGTATATAAGCGCCAGGATCCTTTCTTCTGCTTCAGAATCTCCACGACTATGGTGCTCTTCGCATCTACTCCTAGGTTGAGGGACTGATTACCTCATCTTCTGTACATAGTTCTACTGTCTTCAAGTTATGTCCTAGAATTTGTATTGATAAAGCCACTGGATGGCGAAACGTCTACTTTTTTTTTTTAAAAATTAAATTTTTTTTTTAAAAAATACAATAAAGATACCCAGATGTTGCACATGTGTCTTAATCTCAACACACCGTGTGTAGCTCTGGAGTTTACTCTGACATCGTCATGTACTGATCTTATCACCGTTTTTCCTACTCTTGCAAGCTGAAACAATATACTCAATATCTCTCACACTTTTTCTCAGCATTCCTACTCACAGTGCACGGTGAGCCTGACAGAGTCTGAGGCTGAGAGATGCGGCAGTGTAGGGGCAGTAGAACGACACTCCAGTAGACCTCCGTCGTCGCCAGCAGTAGCCAGCAGCCGTAGCAGAGATACTGTCGAATCCATCCCTAGGTTCTGCTGCAGAGGGTAAAGAGAATACGTTAGGCCTATAAACAGAGGCTCTGCTTCAGGAGGAAAAATGCTTGTTGTAGGCCTGCAGGGAGAGGGAGGGAGGGAGGGGGGGAGGGAGGGAGGAGGGAGGGAGGGAGGGAGGGGAGGGAGGGAGGGATGGGGGGAGGGAGGGAGGGAGGGGAGAGAAGAGAGAGAGAGAGGGGAGGAGAGGAGAGAGGAGAGGAGAGGAAGGGGAGAGATGAGAGAGAGAGAGGACCTAGTAATTAACACAGGCTTTACTGCAGGATGGCCAAGATACGTAGGTGTGTAGGTGAAGGAAGGTAGGTAGATAGGTAAGGGTGTACTCGCCTAGTTGTGCTCACCTAGTTGAGGTTGCAGGGGTCGAGTCCTAGTTTCAGGCCCCGCCTCTTCACTGGTCTCTACTAGTTTACTCCCTGAACCGGGAGCTTTACCATACCTCTGCTATGTATGGATCCTGCCTCCACTACATCGCTTCCCAAACTATTCCACTTCCTGACTACTCTGTGGCTGAAGAAATACTTCCTAACATCCCTGTGATTCATCTGTGTCTTCAACTTCCAACTGTGTCCCCTTGTTACTGTGTCCCATCTCTGGAACATCCTGTCTTTGTCCACCTTGTCAATTCCTCTCAATATTTTGTATGTCGTTATCATGTCCCCCCTATCTCTCCTGTCCTCCAGTGTCGTCAGGTCGATTTCCCTTAACCTCTCCTAGTAGGACATACACCCTAGCTCTGGGATTATTCTTGTTGCAAACCTTTGCATTTTCTCTAGTTTCTTTACATGCTTGGCTAGGTGTGGATTCCAAACTGGTGCCGCATACTCCAATATGGGCCTAACTTACACGGTGTACAGGGTCCTGAAAGATTCCTTATTAAGATGTCGGAATGCTGTTCTGAGGTTTGCTAGGCGCCCATATGCTGCAGCAGTTATTCGGTTGATGTGCGCTTAAGAAGATGTGCCTGGTGCTATACTCACCCCAAGATCTTTTTCCTGGAGTGACGTTTGTAGTCTCTGGCCCCCTAGACTGTAATCCGTCTGCGGTCTTCTTTGCCCTTCCCCAATCTTCATGACTGCACTTGGTGGGGTTGAACTCTAGGAGCCAATTGCTGGACCAGGTCTGCAGCCTGTCCAGATCCCTTTGTAGTTCTGCCTGGTCTTCGATCGAATGAATTCTTCACATCAACTTCACGTCATCTGCAAACAGGGACACTTCGGAGTCGATTCATTCCGTCATGTCGTTCACGAATACCAGAAACAGCACTGGTAATAGGACTGACCCCTGTGGGGGCCTGCTGGTCACAGGCGACCACTCTGACACCTCGCCACGTACCATGACTCGCTGCTGTCTTCCTGACAAGTATTCCCTGATCCATTGTTGTGCCTTCCCTGTTATTCCTGCTTGGTCCTCCAGTTTTTGCACTAATCTCTTGTGTGGAACTGTGTCAAACGCCTTCTTGCAGTCCAAGAAAATGTAATCCAACCCCCCCTCCCTCTCTCTCTCTTTGTCTTACTGCTGTCACCATGTCATAGAACTCAGGATTTCCCGTCCCTGAAACCATGTTGGCTGCTGTTGATGAGATCATTCCTTTCTAGGTGTTCGACCACTCTTCTCCTGATAATCTTCTCCATGACTTTGCATACTATACATGTCAGTGACACTGGTCTGTAGTTTAATGCTTCATGTCTGTTTCCTTTTTTAAAGATTGGGACTACATTTGCTGTCTTCCATGCCTCAGGCAATCTCCCTGTTTCGATAGATGTATTGAATATTGTTGTTAGGGGTACACATAGCGCCTCTGCTCCCTCTCTCAATACCCATGGGGAGATGTTATCCGGTCCCATTGCCTTTGAGGTATCTAGCTCACTCAGAAGCCTCTTCACTTCTTCCTCGGTTGTGTGTACTGTGTCCAGCACTTGGTGGTGTACCCCACCTCTCCGTCTTTCTGGAGCCCCTTCTGTCTCCTCTGTGAACACTTCTTTGAATCTCTTGTTGATTTCCTCACATACTTCACGGTCATTTCTTGTTGTCTCCCCTTCTTCCTTCCTTAGCCTTATTACGTGGTCTTTGACTGTTGTTTTCCTCCTGATGTGGCTGTACAACAGCTTCGGGTCAGATTTGGCTTTCGCTGCTATGTCATTTTCATATTGTCGTTGGGCCTCAATTCTTATCTGTGCATATTCATTTCTGGCTCTACGACTGCTCTCCTTATTCTCCTGGGTTCGTTGCCTTCTATACTTCTTCCATTCCTTAGCATACTTGGTTTTTGCCTCCCTGCACCTTTGGGTGAACCATGGGCTCATCCTGGCTTTTTCATTATTCCTGTTACCCTTGGGTACAAACCTCTCCTCAGCCTCCTTGCACATTGTTTTTACATATTCCATCATCTCATTAACTGGCTTCCCTGCCAGTTCTCTGTCCCACTGAACCCCGTTCAGGAAGTTCCTCATTCCCGTGTAGTACCCTTTCTTGTAGTTTGGCTTCATTCGTCCTGGCCTTCCTGCTTCTCCTTCCACTTGTAGCTCTACTGTGTATTCGAAGCTTGTGTGTGTGTGTGTGTGTGTGTGTGTGTGTGTGTGTGTGTGTGTGTGTGTGTGTGTGTGTGTGTGTGTGTGTGTGTGTGTGTGTGTGTGTGTGTGTGTGTGTGTGGACACGTATTTTAGGGGTCGTATCCAGGTCCCCGAAGTAACCCTTCCAATTACTGGTACTTATACCCTTGAGTGGTGGTCACGCTGAAGCTTGTAACAGCAATGCTTTTGTCTAAAACACTCTTGACAGTAATATTAGCAACACTAATACTTTCAACGGGAATATTGGTAACAGTAATAGCACTAAGTAGCGACTGCAATCCAATAATTTTATAACATTAAAAGTTCCGAAACTGGCAACATTTTAAGCTGTGCAATACACTAGTCTTCAACAGTTCAATTAATTATATTGATTTCAATATAAATTTACTCAACTGAAACTTGAAACTTTATGAAACTTAAGAAAGGTTAGTGTGAAAGTCACGGTTACCATGGAGACAGGCTATGAGAAGAGATTCACAAGTAATGGTTGCCATGGAGAAAGGATGAGGGGTTTAATGGCACACGTGAAAAATGGTTGCAATGGAGACAGGATACGAGGGTATGTGCACAAGTAATGGTTGCCATGGAGAAAGTATGAGGTGTATAATGGCACACGTGAGTAATGGTTGCCATGGAGACAGGCTATGAGGGGAGATACATGATGAAATGCATTAAAGTTGATAGAGAGATTTAGAAGAGGGAAGAATGATGAACGCAAGTTAACTGTAAATAGGAAATGAGGGAAGAGAAGGTGTTAGAAAAGGCCTGAAGGAAGAGAAGGCTCGGATGGGAAGGGAGGGTGAAGGGAAGGTGAAGGGAGGGAAGTTGAAGGGCCTGATGGAGCTTGCAAGGGGTGATGGGATGGAGTGAAGAACATATGGATTTATAGGATGACCCTTCTGTTTCATATGTTTATGCATTTTGTGATCATACATGTACACCAGTAACAACACGCATACTTGTATATTATGTATGCATATATTTGCATACACATGTTACGATGGAAACAGAAAAAATATTCAGAATTGCGAATTGCATCAATCTGCAGACAGCTGACAAGTCACAAAATAGAACAAGTTTTTACTGGGACGTTTCGCTCTGTGCAGAGCGAAACGTCACAGTGGCAAGAGGATTGTACCATTACCTTGTACGAGCGGTACTTAAATAGGTACTTGGGTGTTACTTAACTACTAGATGGAATGGGCAGCAGGTAACTTGCTTTCCCGTCTCGACGCCTCTCAGGACTTAACTCGGATCTCACTTGAGAGCTGAAGGTGCTACCATAATCCGCAAACAAGTACATGTCATCTTTTCCAAGTGATCAAACCGAACCTAAAAATGCGAATTATTTCCTCTTCAGAAATATAGTTATGAGGAGAATGATTGGGGAATTAGATGTAGCAAATTCTCCTTTATACAAGTATTGTCTTAAAATGTTAAATATCTCGGCGATAGGGTTTGAGGAAAGCGATCTCGACGATAGAGTGTGAGGGAATCCATCGCGGCGATAGTGTGCCAGGGGTATTTATCTAGTGATAGCGTGTGGAACAAGAGCCCGCTAATACCGTCAAGGGGATATAAATGAGAAGATAGATGCTGTAAAGGAATGAGAAAGATTACTGACAAGATGCCATCATCCCCAGAGGAGAGAAGGAAAGACGCAGCATCCTCCGAGATACATCAGACCAGGTTCGTTAATGTATGCTTCTAGTACATCATATCAATAACCTTAATGGGCCTCACGCTGTGTATTGTCTCTGTGGTAATGGGAATTGGTGGGCGTGTTTAGAACTTATATAATAATTATAATAATTATTTTTATTAACAAAATAGATTATTATGTAAAATTATAGTGTTGATACAAATAAAGATTATTAGGGAACGGTAATAATTACCAGCCGTTAGGATAAGTTATGGCTGGGCGTGGTAAGTTTCACTTAATTAACGACCAGTGAGAATTTACCAAACTAGCTGTAACTTGCCAAGATAAGTTAGCTTGATTAAGTTTACTAAGATACACGGCCAACCCCGCCCAAGATAACGGCAAGGGCTCACTAAACGAACCTAGAAGTGAAATACAGGCGTCAGTGTAGCGAATACGTTGGCTAGCCTTAAAATTAAGCTGCAGTTTCTTTTTTCATTTTTCTATGCTGGAATGGTTGGGTGAGAATAGGAATTATTTAAATAGGTCCTACAGTTATGTTCAGAATAGGATATGCACAGTACTGAAAGTCGAAAGAAATATGAAAATATCGACAATCAATTAGGTAAATGAATCTACTGATAATGCAACCTTCTGAATAATTTTAAATCTTAGTTTCGTTCGCCAGGAGCTTTTTCAGGTCAATACGAACTGACTTGACAAGGCTATTGAGTGAAATAAATACCATATTAGTTGCACCTGTGTTTATTTACATAACATGGTCAGAATTCTTTCCAGTAATTAAATTTTGATCTAACCTTATTCAGATAAATAAAAAATATGTTCATTAAAAACTTTTTCGTATTTGACCTGATTGAGCTCTGCATAAAGTTTCTTTCTGCAGCAGCCTTGACCGGTAAACATGGGAAACCCAGGCAATAAACGCTTAGCCGACGTTATCCCCAGCAACGACACATGGGTACTGCACGTTAGTGAAATACTCGTAACCGCTCCCAAATGTTTTGACATCCATAATGTGCAGAGGAAAAATCAGCGAAGTTGAACCGACAGTCTAGTTCACACTTTAAGAGGAGACCGATGACCAGTTATGATTGCTCAGCGTCGTCACTTACAATGTAGATAACGTTTTCAATTTAAGATTCCAAAGCTATACAAAGTTAACATGCAAAGACGATCTCGCACACTTCTGCGCCATTTAAGATACTAAGAGTAAACGAGCCAGCTCTACTGGCTTTTTCGTGAGAGAATATTGCTTCTGCAGCCTTGAGTCTGTAAACTAGGAATACTCCTACGTACACTGATCCTGTACCAAGCTGCACTTTCCTTCGTTCTTCGAGGAATGAGCACTTCACATCAACTCCCTACGCAATGACATCACTATCATTCTTCCCAAAGGAAAGGTTGCTCTGAACGTCTCCAAATCACTCTTAAGAGACAACGCCAAAGTCGCCATTGGCAACCAGCATACACATGAAAGATTTCACCAGAAGCAAAGTGGCGAATCTTGAAATATTCATCATAGGGAGTTAATATTATCACTTGCAGAAGCTGTGACAAGCTACACGTCTAGGAAACAGCCAGAAACCCAGAAACATGTCTTACAGGATTGTATTATGCTTGTATTGCAGCAGCCTGAAGAACACATGAAAACAACAACTCCACCAGCCACTTGTTGAAATGGAATGATGCCCTCTTATGTATTATATTTAAGGGGAATCGCTAAATCCGTATAGGTCATACAGTGCCTGAGAATGAGAGATATTGTGTTTGATCCAGCATCACACAACTTCCCTTGAGGAAATACCTGCTTAGTGATTAGGAAACCAGATACTCTGAAATGAATTTGCTTAGAAGCAGCATTAATCTTTATTACGGATACAGTTATCCGGATCAAAGACAACTTCGTCGTCTGAAATATTAGCACGAATTCTCCTTAAAATGATAGGGATCGCAGTCGCCTGACAAGAAATATCTTCTTTTACTACTATCACTTCTAAGACCACCTCTAATACAGCTTTCATAATTACTTTAATTACGGCTTCAGTAAGCTTCCACCTTCTTAACCTCGCTATGTTCTCTTTGTACGCCTTGTGCTTCTATTGGCTTGATAAATCTTTCAACACGAAAAACTTAGCCACCAAAAATATTTCATTTTCAGCGCTTGTGTTCGTTTACCTAAATTATTTTAGGCAATTTTTTTAAATAATTTTAAAACGCATGTTTTTATTGCCTAATCACCCATCACATAGTAGCAATAAAATCTAACTTAAGTTCTGTCAAAGATATTGTCAAGGACTCAAAAATCGTAATAACAATTGTAATAAAAAACTCAACAGAAAAATACAGTAACGAATATTATTAAGCTTGCTTGGAGCAGCGGTGAGACCAGAAGCCTCCCAGTTTTAGGATTGGCTTGCGATGTGTTTAAACCCCGCACGTTTCCTGAATAGGGAAAGGTGTACCTCAGGGTCATGTCTGAAGTGAGAATCCAAAGTATATCAGAGGAACTATATGACAGGATAAAAAACACACACACTTCAGCTGAGACACGAGGGAAGAAGTATTCAGGTGAACTGACACAGGCGAAACAATTAAAAGATAAATACGTTGTATAATAAGCGTATATTTTGACAGCTTTTCCCTCTGTGTATATATTTATCAATTCATGACTTGGTAAAACTGTACTTTGAGCGAAACATTATCTCAAAAGGAGCTTTGTTATGCAATGTTGGCAGGATGCAATTTGAATCCATATATAGAGGTACTGAGTAAAACGGCATTTAATAGGTGACGAAACAGGTGAATCACTTTAGGGAAAGCACCTTACCACATTGATGTTTTGGGTGAGCTGCTGACCTCGGAGCCACCAGGTGAGTACAGGTGGCGGCCTCACCCCAGTCGCCTCGCACCTGATGTCGTACTGACGACCTCCCGACAGCTTCCCCGTCGGCGTTCTCATCTCCACCTTCAGCTCCGAGTCTGGTGGAATACACCAAGAAGATGATTGCGGAGATGTTTGTGGTGATGCTCTAATGCAAGAAAATGCTTTAATGGCAGGAGTGCATTTCCAAACATTTCCAGATACGCATACGCACACAGAACCCGAATACAGAGTACTTGTACAACGTACAAGCACACACACATTCTAACACATCACACAAGCAGTTCTCGAGAGCACGACTTACATGCACATAAGCAGGCAAACACACGCACAAGCAGACACACATGTGCGTGCTATAACAATTTGAGGAATCCATAAGTACATTCTAATGTAACTACTGCATTTTTCCTAGAGAGAGAGAGAGAAGCATACATATTTAACAAGGGAAAGAAACAGAAAACTTACAGCGTATACCTTGGTTATTTAAATTCCTATTCAGCTTCTATATAGGTGCCGTTAGAATAGTACAGCAAAAGGGGTCTCCCTCCCTCCCTCTGTAATGATTTTTTTTCTTTACAACAACCACATTGCGAATCAATCCGGATTTCTCTGTATTCTTGACAACTCTGACAGATTGGAAATATTTTCAGGTTTTCGCGTCATTGCCGAACTGGATTTTCTTACAATAGAACCTGTAGATGTGTGTTTGTAATCTGCATTAATTTTGTTTCAAATAGTTTGTGACAGGTTAGTTTACATCTTCGAGGATTTTTTAGTAGTGTTCTTTTTTAAATACTATTTAGTATTTCTTATGGTATAAACCTTGGTAATAAATACCGACAAGTTGGTTTAGAAAGACACGTAAGCAAACACTGACATATTTATTAGAAAACGTTTCGGTCCTGGGACCTTGATCACTTCTAGGTCCCAGGACCGAAACGTTTTCTAATAAATATGTTATAGTGTTTGCTTACGTGTCTTTCTAAACTAGTATTTCTTATAAATTCACCAGACAATAGAATTTTTCACTTTAACCGAACTATCTTCTCTCCCACCTACATTCTCCTCCTCTCCCTTCCCTCGCATTCATATCCTCCCTTTCTCTACCTGCCAGATATTTTTTATACACTTTTATGCACTGTTATCCTGCTAGATAAATTCTCGTCTAGCATTTCTCCACTACGTTAAATTGTAGATCTGTAGTGTAAAGATTTCTATCTCTGTTAGCGTCTTAAAGTTCTATATAATCTATACAGTTGTCTTACAGATACTTAAAGCAGTTTATATTCTATTGCCTTAGCACATAATTTTGCAAATAATAATGTCATAACTTTTGGGAAATTTTGAACCATTTCATATTCTTTTCTGAGAGAGAGAGAGAGAGAGAGAGAGAGAGAGAGAGAGAGAGAGAGAGAGAGACAGAGAGAGAGAGAGAGAGAGAGAGAGAGAGAGAGAGAGAGAGAGAGAGAGAGAGAGAGAGAGAGAGAGAGAGAGAGTGAAACTCAGAATATAGCGGGAGATGTAAATGCGAGCTTCACAGCCCATCAACCAATGTCAGGACCTGCATCTCAAGGCAGCAGAGGCACGCACCCATAATACCAACACATTCATCACAGACAACATTACCGCTGTTTTCTAAGGTGCTAAATGGGAGCACGACCGGCGATTTATAAACTGTTGGGCCGTGTGATACACAAAGGAATTTAAGGACCATTCTACTTGTCGTAGTTAATCATCATTGTCTCGAGTTAAATTTTCATGTGGATTTAAGTATAATTTGTATTCTGTTTAAAGCATCTAATGTACAGTAGATCACAAATATATTAAGATCATTTTTTACAGTTAATAAAATCTAAAGAGTTAATGTATAGATCAGAACGTATTGGGTATTTTATTTTCTAAATCACTAAGTAGGTTTAAGGTTTACGTTATCGTACCTCTTCGAGCTCAGTTTTCTTAATTTTTTTAAATGGAAACATTATTATTATTATTATTATTATTATTATTATTATTATTATTATTATTAAAGATTAGCCGGTATTCTCCCGGCCCGGGCCTTTTCCAAGTGGTGGCCCGGCCTTGGTTCCCTCTTCAGGGAGTGTCTGAGACCGAAGTCTCCCATGGGAGGAGGCACAAGTACCTCCTCATCTTTGGGACCAACTGTCCCCAGACCTAGCCACAAGCTAGGCCTCTCTGGTCTGCCATCCCCGCCCCAAGGGGGCAAATGGGAATGACAGTCTTATGAGCTAAAGGCTCGGGCTCAGGCACCTACCCTACCCTAGAAGGGTTAGGCATGGTGTCGATCTGGAAACATTACTTGTGTTTTAATTTCCTCTTATAGTCTTGCATTTTAATTTCTTCTCCCTGTAGAAGTATTTTAGTTTTCTCGCCAAGTACTTTCATTTTAGTCTCCCCTCCTAACATAGGTATATATTTTTCCCCTTATTTTTTCTTGGTGTTTTAAACTCATCCCATAGTACTGGTGTTTTAGTCTTGTTTCACTGTCCTGGTATTTTACTATGTGCTCACTGGGGATACTGCAATATTTCTGTTTATACTAATTCCACTAATGCTAAAATAATGATGGATTGCACCAAAATACAGCAGAGAAAGATAAATGAATTGTTTATAATTACCAATGCTTCCAATATCAACACTGTGAATGAGAATACTAAATCTCCATTAAACGAGTGCCTTCTTAAAATTAACAAGTCTATAAGGAACAATTTTCGAACAAAATCGTAAGTCCGAGGCGCCTCTAAATGTTATGCGAGGCAGTCCGTCCCTTATGAATTTGACGGATTTAACTAGATTAATTTGGAAATGAGGGAAGTGGGAAAGAACTCATTAAGCAATAAAGTATTTGATGGTTGGAGTAATTGAACAAGGGCAAGTATGCCAATTACAGTGTTTCTCACCTTTTTTTTTGTTGTTGGTTGGTTTTAATGCTGTTTTTTCATGCGTACTTTCCGTATATTATGTGGGCTTTCGTGTAAAAGGTTTAGTACCTCCTGAGGAGGGTCCCCAGTCAGACCGAAAATATTCCTGCTACTTTCATACTGTTTAATATATATATATATATATATATATATATATATATATATATATATATATATATATATATATATATATATATATATATATATATATATATATATATATATATATATATATATATATATATATATAGTCGTGCCGAATAGGCAGAATTTGCCATCTTGCCATATATAGCAACGTTCATCTTGAAAATATAGGACAAGTGAAAATTTGTGTATGCAATAATTTCGCCAAAATCATTCTGAACCTAACGGAAAAAATATATTTGATTGTGTTTGTTTAGTGTGAAATTATTGTAATCGTATTTAAAATATATTTAGTTGGGTTAGGCTAAAATAAATTGTTATTGCTATAATAAGGTTAGGTAAGTTTTCTAAGATTCTTTTGGTGCAAAATTAAAATTTTTTACATTAACATTAATGAAAAAAATATATCTTTAAACGTATAAGAGAAAATTTCAGAAAGGACTTAATTTTAAATGAGTTCTTGCTAATTGACAGTTTTACATATTCGGCACGACGTATATATATATATATATATATATATATATATAAATATATATATATATATATATATATATATATAATATATATTATTTCTTTTTCAACAAACCGGCCGTATCCAATCAAGGCAGGGTGGCCTAAAAAGAAAAAACAAAAGTTTCTCTTTTTAAATTTAGTAATTTATACAGGAGAAGGGGTTACTAGCCCCTTGCTCTTGGCATTTTATTCGCCTCTTACAACACGCATAGCTTACGGAGGAAGAATTCTGTTCCACTTCCCCATGGAGATAAGAGGAAATAAACAAGAACAAGAACTAGTAAGAAAATAGAAGAAAACCCAGAAGGGTGCGTATATATATGCTTGTACATGTATGTGTAGTGTGACCTAAGTGTATGTAGAAGAAGCAAGACGAACCTGAAACCGTGCATGTTCATGAGACAGAAAAATGGGCAAAAGCAATCCTACCATCATGTAAAACAATTACAGGCTTTTGTTTTACACTCACTTGGCAGACGGTGGTACCTCCCTGGGTGGTTGCTGTCTACCAACCTACTACCTATAATATGTATGTATGTATGTATATATTATATATATATATATATATATATTTTTTTTTTTTAATTTTTTTTATCACACTGGCCGATTCCCACCAAGGCAGGGTGGCCCGAAAAAAAAAACTTTCACCATCATTCACTCCATCACTGTCTTGCCAGAAGGGTGCTTTACACTACAGTTTTTAAACTGCAAGATTAACACCCCTCCTTCAGAGTGCAGGCACTGTACTTCCCATCTCCAGGACTCAAGTCCGGCCTGCCGGTTTACCTGAACCCCTTCATAAATGTTACTTTGCTCACACTCCAACAGCACGTCAAGTATTAAAAACCATTCGTCTCCATTCACTCCTATCAAACACGCTCACGCATGCTGCTGGAAGTCCAAGCCCCTCGCACACAAAACCTCCTTTACCCCCTCCCTCCAAACCTTTCCTAGGCCGACCCCTACCCCGCCTTCCTTCCACTACAGACTGATACACTCTTGAAGTCATTCTGTTTCGCTCCATTCTCTCTACATGTCCGAACCACCTCAACAACCCTTCCTCAGCCCTCTGGACAACAGTTTTGGTAATCCCGCACCTCCTCCTAACTTCCAAACTACGAAGTATTCTCTGCATTATATTCACACCACACATTGCCCTCAGACATGACATCTCCACTGCTTCCAGCCTTCTCCTCGCTGCAACATCCATCACCCATACTTCACACCCATATAAGAGTGTTGGTAAAACTATACTCTCATACATTCCCCTCTTTGCCTCCAAGGACAAAGTTCTTTGTCTCCACAGACTCCTAAGTGCACCACTCACCCTTTTCCCCTCATCAATTCTATGATTCACCTCATTCTTCATAGACCCATCCGCTGACAAGTCCACTCCCAAATATCTGAATACATTCACCTCCTCCATACACTCTCCCTCCAATCTGTATCCAATCTTTCATCACTAATATTTTTGTTATCCTCATAACCTTACTTTTTCCCTGTATTCACTTTTAATTTTCTTCTT